CTAATGGTCTTGCTATCCTTACAACTATCCCTTATCTATGGAGGTTTTTGTACTTTGTTAGGTTATAAAGAGTGAGACAATCAAACATAACAATTGGTTTTTAACTAGATTTTTCATTTAAGTAATTCAAATAATAAGTCAAAAAAGGATGGTGATTAGTCAATCTTTTATAACTAATTATTCCTTTTATAAAAAGGAAAGTCCTGAAATTTATGCTATCTAGAAAATAGTCAGTATTTTAGTGCATCATTCACACTTAACAAGCACATAGTGTATTTGAAGCATACAATAAGTTTAGATGGATCTAATCATGCTCGGTATGATTCCATGGTTAGAATTTTTAGCTCTCAAGTGCTACTGCTTCAATTTTATCTATTGGGAAAGCATTCTCCAACTGGTATGACAGAAGGGCAATCAGATGGGGCCAAACCAATGTTATCTAAATAATACGAATGATTCTCATATGTAGAAAAAAGTGAAGGGGTCATCCTTTTACTAGCAGCAAGTTTGCCTCTTCGTCGAGCTAGGCATGTTGGCCAAGGTTTTGTTGTTTCCTTTTCAACAAATGTGTTCCTAATCATCGCCATCATATGTTCCTTAAGTTCATTGAATTGGTGAGTGACAAACTCTCTGGTGAAATTCATGTTGTTTATGATTTTTCTTTTGGTTATTTTCCTTGCATTGCTCATCTTCTTGTTTGTGGCTTGATCTGCACTCACCGCTTTCTTTAAGGATGTTGAATCTTATTTTGTTCATAGAATTACACCCAAAGGAATAGAGCATGAGAAATGAGAGAGAGGAAGGGGTCAAGTAGGAGAGAAAAAGAGAGAGAGAGAGAGGGGAGGAGGAGATTGTTATGACTTTAAGAGAGTTTCATTAGCATGGGAAAAAAGGAGAGAGATATACCCCGTTACATTTAAGATTTCACATTTTATATGAGCATTTTCGCTATATAAAATAAACAAAGGTCATAATTATGTCTGGATTTGTCGGGATCACTAGTTGTTTTTTTAATTACATCATCATTTAAGTTGAGACCTTATTTGTGGATTCCCTCCCCAAATCTTAGAGCCATGGGGCAAATGGGTCTCAACTCAAAGAAATCATTCAATACTTATTTTTGGGAACCCTCTCTTTGCCATTCACATTCTCCATGTTCATACTCTATTATTTTTACTTGGTTGTTCGAATTCTATTACTCACACTTAATTCATTGTGTGTCCGAGTAGATGTGTATAGGCTAAATTGTCTCAATCATATTATTTAAGTTGAATCTTCTAATATACCAAGATCAATCCATTTATACTTGTCTTTGTTTCTGTGTTTTTTTTTATACATAAATTATAACAAATAATATGAATTATATGGTTGTTAATCAAATAAAATTATCAAATCGAATTTAAGTTGACTGCTTAATTCAAGTCCATTTTAGCAAATACCACTTGTGCCCTCACCCTGCATGTAGCCAACATCGAAGCACTTTGACCAAGCAATTCTCCTTTCTTGCAGCCTTTTCTTAGTTATAACTAGTTTAGCTTCCTCATCATGCACGAAGTACCCGCATCGGTTATGTGTTAACCTATGCTCTCTCTCTTTTCTCACATTCTTTATTATCTACTCTATCTCTAATGGCCTTGTTATCTTTGCAATTATCCATCTATCAACAAAGGTCTTTCCACTTTGCTGGGATAAAGAGCGAAAAAATTGTGACAGTCGCAGTTGTATGCCATGATAATTTCTTCTTCTAGAAAGGAAAGTCACAAAATTTAGGTTATCTTAAGGGCAAGTATGATAACATATTAGTTTAAAATTAGTAAGATTTAGCAAATCATGTAAATTCTCAATAAATCTTGGATTAGTTAAATCTAAAAAAATGTTTGACAATAGATGCAGTTAAATCATGTCAAACTTCCTCATACTCTTTGTCGGGATTCAAAAAAGTTGTCATGCTTGTTAGAAAAAAAATATATAATTAAACTTTAATTATTTTACTTTTATGATGAAAACTAATTATTAAATTTAATTAAATTAGAAATAAATTGTGTTTCAATTATGTTAATTAAAAATCAATTATACATTAAACAAACAAACTATTAATAAATTTATTAATTAAATTAATTACTTATTAAGCAATAATTTAACTTTATTCAATTATTAATTAATTATAGTAATTAAAAAATACCTAAAGTTTTATTATATAATTTAAAATTTAAAATTAAATTTTATTAATTTATAGCGAGTTTTAATATGCAAGAATTTATGAACCCAAATTTATATATTTATAATTATTTTGATAATATATAAATTAATTATTAATCAATTAAGTTAATAAAATTAATTAAATAAAAATAAACTAAAACCATAAACCCTTCACCCCCTTAGCCTTCTGCCCGAAACCCTCGCCTACATCCTTTCCCAGCCTGCCCCAACTTCGTCTCTCTGCCCAAAACCTTCGCTCATGTCAGTCCCCCTCCCGGTTTCGCCCAAAACCATCGCCTTTTTGAACGAATCCTCGGAATACAGTCACTATTAGAGCTAGCTGGTAAGGCAACGACGGCATCGCGGCTTACAGAGACCCCTCCTCGGAATACAGTCACTATTAGAGCTAGCTGCTAAGGCAACGACGGCATCGCGGCTTACAGAGACCCCCGAAACTCCCATCTTTCTCATCCTTCCACTACGCTCCTACCAGAAACCAACGAGGAAGGTAATCCTTTTCGCGCCATTCTTCCTCTTTGACGATTCACTGGATTTAGTAAATCCGGGATTTGCGGTGGAAATCCGATAAATTCGAATTTATGAAAGCGGTGGATTTATTTTGTCCGGACTGACTGTCTGGCAAGATTAAGCCTAAATCCAGGTTAAATCCTGGTCTAAATCCGTTGCCAGACGGCCCCTTAATATTCGAATGTTTCTCTCTTTGTTCATCAAACGGATGAACTTGGCATATTTGATTCAATTGCGATAGATTATATTCCAATTGTTTTGCGTGTATGGCGGACAGGTTTATGTCAAATTTCAGTAATTAGAGGTTAACTTGTTGGCATTTATAGGATGCTTATGTATGTATGATGATTCTTCGATTTTGTTCTCGATAGAATTATGAATTTTGAAGCATGAAGTTAGCCTGTTCTATTTCGGATTTTCGTTTTGATTGTTGCCTTGCTCTGTATGCTTTTGTAGATCTTTTGAACCATGTAGGATGCGATCATGTGGGCTTTTAAGCGTTTTGAGGGGCATTTCTTGAAGCTGTTGCCACTTCTATCAAGGTACCAGTCAAAGTTAGCTACTTAACCTATGAAATGATTGTTCTTGAATAAAATATTCTTCACTACAATCACTATACTTATGTGGAGTAAATTTTATAGAGGTGGAACCAAGAATTTGAATGGTGGCTCTTCTATCATCACAAAAGCTAGTCAATATGGCCCTTCCCTGTGTAGTTCATTTGGTTGTTTCCATTTGATGTCTACAATGAAAGGAAGGGGCATGCGATCCAAGGTAGAGAAGAGAATGCGGAGAGAATCAGCAAAAACACTGACGGAGCATCGGCGGTCAAAAAGAATTCATAAAATGCTAATGACTGAAGATGAGAAGCTCATTTACAGCTTAAGAAGGGTGAGCTATTCCTTTCTATTGTGGATCATAAATTATCTAAGCTTTTTACTTAAAGGAATTTCATTACTGTGTCATTTGGCTTAAAAATTACTCTGAATATGGTAATCTTCAGTTTATCTGTTAGCTGCGTTTGAAATTTATTCCATTTGAGTTATTATTAAGCACTAGAAGAATGGATGAGTTACATAAACTGATGAAACCATCTGATTTGTTCTTTCTTTTCATTTTTTGTTATTGTTGTTGGTTATATCTGGTTGGGGGTCTTTTTTTTTTTTTTGTTTTTAATTGGGAAAGCACGGGTTTTGAGTTACAATTGGATTTGATTTATTCTTTGATTTGCTCTTTTCTTTGTGATAATTAAAACCATTTGGGTCATTTTGTTGGCTCTGAGGTGCTTAAATGCCGTCTTTATTGTGCTTTGATTAGGAAAGCTCCATATTATTTTGGTTCTTAGATTGCTTTTTATATTGACTTTTTAAAATATCTATTATTTAGCTTAAGGTCTACATCGCTATTTTGTCAGTCTATATACCAATGCTTGATCATGAGCATGCGTGCAATGCAAACTTTGAAAATTTCTCAAAGTCTATGATGTATGGTATTGTTACAGTTATAATTAGTTTTACACACACACACACACACACACACACACACACACACACATATATATATATAATATCAGCTTAAACCTTAAATATGAGAGACACAAGCCTATTAAATTTTGAGTTGAGGGCATGTTTCACACTTCACATGAGTGGCTATGAGTTGCATGCCTCATGCCAAAAATACTTGAAAGATGCTTTATGGAGAAATTTTTTTCAATGTGCTAAGGAACATCTTGTATTGTGCAATTTTAAAACATAAATAAATCTTGCGAGATTCTCCTAGAAAATTAAACCATTAAAGCATTGATCATCCTTGAAAAGTGTGCAAGTGTGAACTCAAGAAGATATGTGCAGGAATTTCTTGAAACAAGGAAACCTAGACTAATATTTGTAGAATTTTTTAGGCATTTGAGTTTAAATCCCAACAACTAAGTTAATTGAAGCACAATATGAATTTCCTGTTTGTTTCAATCTAATCTGACGGCAAGGTGCACCAGAAGCAAAGCAGTTTGCCAGAAAATGTTCAAAAAATTGTAGCCTTGGATATTTGACTATGAATTCCTGTCAATTTTTTGTTTTCCTGTTTGGTCTGTAGAAATTTGTTTATCAAATCGAATAGTTGCAAAATTCTTTTAAAACATTTCACCCCCAAGTGTTTGAATTGGATTGGTTATGCACTCATTCTAGTTATTAACTGTAGAGTGGAAAAATATAATTGAAGGGGCAAAACTTTCACCTTGGTTTGGCTAGTGATCCTATGCCGCGTCCTAATCTCGTGACTGAAAAGGATTGTGGATTGTTTCAAACAGCAATCCAGTTCACGGACTTGTGAATAACTCTATAACCTATCCATTTCATTTGCCAAAAGATAAACTCAACAATCTATTCTTTCCCCTGGATAATGTAGAATCCTCACAATATTTTTCTTTTTTTAGTTTTATAACATGCACACTATCCGTGGATATGGTTAGGCAAAAAGGTGTATTACTTACAAGGATGGTTGCTACAATAAAACTTTTAAAAACAATGATGCTCTGCAAATCAAATGCAACTTGGAATCGCAATGGATAAATCTTGCTAGATTCTTCCAAGATTATGAATCCATGAGTATTAATCTTCTTTTGAGATCATGCAAGTGTGAAATCAAGAAGTCATGCATAGGAATTTCTTAAATCGAGGGAACTAGTGGACTGTTATTTCTATGACTTTGGAATCTTTTGAATTAAACTCCCAATTAGTTATATAAACCGATTGACTGGCAGGAGTTTCCCATTTATGTCCACTTTTTTCACTTGTTAGTTGCACTAGAAGCCAAGAGCTCTGCTGTTGAGTGTGAAAAGAATTATAGGTAAAAAGAAATTCTCCCAAAGAATTTGAATTGGATAGAGCAAGGAAATGAATCAATGATCCATTATGTGCGCTATGTTATTTTTAATAGTAGAGTATAGAAAAAATATCTAAAAAACAAAAAAATTGTCATGGTTTGGCTTCTCATTGACCCTATACGTACTCCCCATAAAACCATGAAAAGGATGTGAATTATTTTAATACACAATTCTTTTCACTGTATTGGGGCACCTTTACAACCTATTTGTTTCACAGGTAAATGGATCAAACCAACAACCTATTCTTCCTCCGGCTTATGCAAAATTCTCATTTTGACTTATACAACTTACACATTATGAGTAGAGATGGTGTTCTTAAAAGATAAGGCAGAGACATAAGTGAGAAGAGAACGCAAAGGCTATTACACAATAAAATGCCATGCTAGATGCGAATTTGTAGAAACAAAGATGCTTTGCAAAATCAGAAGAAACAACTTAAACTTTCAATTGATAATTCTACCTACAGTTTCTTAAGAATCTGAAGCCACTAGATTGTTGATCTTCTTTGAATAGTTTGCAAGTTGGAGTTCTGCAGGAATTTCTGAAAACGGGCAACTATTGCTAATATTTGTTGAACTTTGGAAGCACTTGAATTCAAATCCCAACAAGTAAACCACTGATACACATTTTTTTTTTTATTATTTTGTCTTTCAACAATTTGATATTTTGAAAAATTCTGACGTAATGGGCCAGTTCTTTACACTCATGGTGGTTTTCAGTTTCATCAGTCAATCAGGCTCTACAAAGTTGGCTTGCCAATCAATCAAGCCTTGGATCGAGAGCTTTAGCCACTTACAGCTTTCTAGTTTTGGCATTTTCCTTACATTATTTTAAACTTTAAACCGAATAACCTATTATTAACTTCATAGCAAACTTTTCAGTTGCTAGATTTTTCCTATTTCTTCATCAACTTAAGAAAAATTTCTTTTTTTGCAGAATCATAAGAACTTCTAAGATAATCTTTCTTTAATGCAAAGTGTGACACACTGTTGTGAGCTGTTAAAGTGCACCGCTAATATCTATGCGTTGACTCTGTTTATACGTCAAAGTTAATACATATATTGTGTTGTTCTTTCTGTTTTTATTCTTTGTAATGGGCATTTACTGTTTCTAATACAAGATTTCCATTAGCATCTTGCATATCTGTGTGAAGATCTTAGGACCATAGGTATTTTAGCTTTGATTTCATGTATTTTTATTGATATGAATGCTACTAGCTTGTTGGGACATACCTGACTGAAGAAGATATTATGACCATAAGTATTTTTGCACTCCCTCTGTGCACTTATTATTAATATAAAAGCTAATAACTAGTTTTTTTTCATATATTTTTATCATGATTTCAGCTTCAATTTTTTTAGGCCAAGAAAAAGGTTGCTCTGCTTCTACAGAAGCTGAAAAAGTATGAGTTGCCGGAGTTGCCTCCACCTCAACATGACCCGGAACTTCTAACTTCTGAACAGCTTCAAGCTTATAAGAAGATTGGATTCAGAAACAGAAATTATGTGCCCGTCGGAATTCGTGGAGTCTTTGGAGGTGTTGTCCAAAATATGCATCTCCACTGGAAGTTTCATGAGACCGTACAAGTTTGTTGCGATAATTTTCCAAAAGAGAAGATTAGAGAGATGGCCACCATGCTTGCAAGGTTAAGTGGAGGCATTGTGGTTAATATCCACAATGTGAAAACAATTATCATGTTCCGAGGCAGGAATTACAGGCAACCGAAGAATCTGATTCCCATCAATACTCTCACTAAAAGGAAGGTCTGTTCTGTTCCTTATTTCTTCTGATACTGTGGTCTGAATATAATTCTGTTGAAGCTTAGTCCTTCCATATCTTCTGCAGGCCCTTTTCAAGGCTAGATTCGAGCAAGCTCTTGAATCGCAGAAACTGAACATCAAGAAGGTAGAGCAACAGCTTCGTAGAAGGGGAACAAATCCAGAGGACCCAATTGCCATGGCCAGCATTCAAAGAGTAGCTTCTACATTTTTCCGTGCCATCGATGAGAAGGAAGGAACTCCTTATGTTTTCCGTGAGAATGCGAAACTGATACCTGAAGCTAATGAGAATTCGAGGGAGGAGGATCTCGATGAACTATCTCCCGAGTACAGCGACCAAGAAGAGCTAGATAGGTTCATTGCTGAAATTGAGCAGGCTGCTGATTTGGAGTGGGAGAAAGAGGAAGCAGCTGAGAAAGAAGAAGCATCTAAGATCAGATATTGGGGAAGAGATGATATTGGATTTGGGTTGAGGGGTAGGAGCCAACAAAACTGGAGGAATTCGGATTCAGATGATGATAGGGGCCATCCGAGACATTTTGCTAGAGCCGACGGCACGCAAAGGCGAAATACTCTGAAGAAATACGAAGATGACGAGGACGTCGAGGAGGCTTCAGGTGAGGATTGGGAATCGGATGATGATGTCGATAATGTGATAGCTGGCATTGAAAACAATGCCTCGGATGCCATTGTGAGCAAGGAAGAAAGTCATGGATTATGGAGAAGCGCAAGAGGGAAAGGTGGTGGTAGTGAGAGAGTAGAAAGAAGAGCTGCTAGAGTGGATTATTTTTCAGACTTTGATGGCTCCTCAGAGGATGTAGTGTTGGATTCAGAAGGTCAGGGAAGAGTAGGACTGTCTGCTAGCAGTGATTATGAGGATAGTGATGGTGACTATGGCCATGAAAGTCTGAAACCAATTAATTCAAAGAATGAAAAGGTTGATAATGGTAGTTACAGTGATTAGAACCATAGTATTAGAGCAATACAGTTGGTTCAATTAGCAACGTCCCTCCAAAGAGAAAATATTACGTGCGGATTAAGTATATGCGGAGTGGTGGTATCGTGCTGATATTGTGGTAAATACTATCACGAGATCCCAGAATACCATCAAATCCGCATCTATCTTGTCACGCGTGATATTTTTTTTCTCCCCAAGGCTATTTTCATCCTGCTTGCACCCAAAATGAGTGTTTTTAATTTCAGCATTCTTGATTCTAGAATGCATTGCAAGAAAGTAAAAGGGGGATTAACATATGCAGCACATAAGTTTTATGTATTTATATGTTTAACATTCAAATTTTGAATTTATTTGGGGTTATTTGGTTGCAAGTATTGTTAGTGTAGTTTAAATTGAGTGCATAGCTTTCTGAAATCTTAGGTATTTGGCAGTAAATACATTTAGCTTATGCAGATTGAATCAAGACTTGAAGGTGAATTGAAGATGGATAACTTGGAGCACAAAGATAGAAAATAATTGGAAACTTCTTGTATGATTTATTTTTTTGCTCACAATCAAATATATACACTTAATTAATTATTAGTTAAGATTAATAAAATTAAATTAGTTATCAATATATCTAAATATTTATTTATAATTTTTATATTCTAAATATTTTCCTAAACACTTCCTCCATAACATGGACTTCATGAAAATGATATAAATAGATGTTAAAAGTAGAAATTTTATTTTATTTTATTATATTTGAAATTTTTATGAGTTGTTAAATAAATGATAGAATATTATTTGAATCTTAATAAATTATGAATTATCAAAAAAATAATATAATTTATTTTTCTGCCCATATCTTATTAATAGCTGCAAAAAAAAAAAAAAACCACTCCTTCACCTATATTCGATTTGTTAAATATCTCTTGTTTAATTTGGACGTCAAATAAACAAGTAGAACATGAATACAATTTCTTAGCTCGATTTATAAATAGGCCGAGTAAAAACAAACTTTTGTTTGAATTAATTAAATGATATGTAAAATTTAAAATAATGATATTTTTGATATGATATCAAATACTTGGTTTGTAAGACTTGAAAAAATAAAATTTAGGGGTTAGTTATGTAACAAAAGAATTGGGTAGTAGGCCTCCTAAGACTGCACCTCACCGTCCGCTCGTCATATTTAGGTTAGAATTGTAAATATATGAGAAATTGGTTGTATTTATGTAAATGCTTGAAAAAACCTAGCCATCAATGTAACATCTTCAAATTGCCCCTACATTGGCAATTTGAAGATGTTACATTGATGTTTAAATTTATAAAAGAATGTGAAAAGCTTGAAAATTATATATTGCACATGACTAGTTTTGAAATTAGGGAATGTTCCCTTTATTTTGAAGTTAATTTTTTTTTTCAATTTAATAATTTTCTTTTGATTAATAAATCTCAATAAATTTATTTCAAGTCAAACATGAGCCGGAAACGAGCCAATTTGAATAAATTTGAGCTGAACATGAACATATCTCCTCGAGCTTTTCCGAACATGAGCCGAACAAAAAAAAAAAAAAAAACAAACAAGCAAGTTGGACAAAAATAAGTCGCGGGCTCACTCAAGCTTAGCTTGTTTACAACACAGTTACAACACACTCCTTCACTTTAGTTTCTTCTCTTTGTCATTATTTGATGCTCTTAACTTTTTTCATCCTTTAAATCACTTGAAAATTAGTATTTTTAGATGAAATAGTATTTGAGCATTATAATATTAAGTTTCATGTGTTTAATTCTTTAATCATTAAAGTTAGCAATCATGTTATTTAATTTTAATGTAGATATTTTTTTTTAAACTTAATAAATATTAAGAAATAACTTTAAAATTAGTGATTTTAATTATTTTAAATTAAAATCTTAAAATCCTTATTTACACAAGCCAAAAAAATATATATATATATATTAAATGAGAAAAAATTACATTATATTCGTAAGTTGTGAAGTGATTAAAAATACTTTGTAACTTTACCGCAAAAAATTTAATTAGGAACCTAAAATTTAACTTAAACCCTAAACACATCAATTTAACCCTAAAATTTAAAATCACCAAAATTCACCAAATAATCAAATCAATTAAACTAAACCTATCAAAATAAAATCAAAATTGATTCAAAATGTAAGGCCAAATTCACTTAAAGGTCAAAATTAAATTAGGGACACAAACTCCTTAATTAACCTACTTATTTAGTTAGGCTAATTATGAAGAACCATTAAGCTTAATCCTTTTGGGCAAACCCTACTTACCCAAGGCAAGGCTTAACCACAAAAGCCCAAACTTAAGCTTAAGCCCAAGCCATCTATGTATTTATTTGTCTAACACCTAAACTTGGTGTTTACATTAATACCAAGCAAATCTTTCATATCACATTAAAAATACTGCCATTTCAACTTTTTAATAGTAACATACACCTCTTCATGCATAAGTAAGGTCGTATGTATGTAAAATTTGAAGCTTAGGTGTTAGACATGCAAATACATAAGAATTGAGCAGCATCTTTGTAAATCTTCCATATCTTGTTATCACTGAAAGCTGTCATTTTTTTCTGCAGTATGCTTTGATTCTATTGCATGATTTCAGTTTTAGCCATTGTTAAAGTGAGATATTACAGGGGTAACCTCTTTAGTCCCACCCTTTTATAAAGTGATATTTGTTTTATATTATATTTTGTAGTTCATTACATCTATTACAAACAATCAATTGCAAAAGCCTTTGGACACACTGTCCTATTATTTTTCTCTTCTATTTATTTGAGACTTCAAGAACTTACATCAACAGAAAAAAGTCCAGCTTAAATGTCATGTGTTAGGTTATTTAGATTCAGATGTGATATTTTGGTAGATCATACATGCAAATGAACATTAAATAAAGAATGCTCCCGAACGACTATCATTGGAAACAATGTAACGAGATTAATACTAGTTTATGTATCTTCATAGTTTCTTTCTGTGAGCACAATGCACCCAACAAACCAAGGAAATCAAGACTATGTCTCATCAACAAAATAGCTCTATATCAAACAGTATATTCCATAGTTCTTAGGTTAATTCATGCTTCAATTTTGACTCCACCTTCTTTAAAAACATAAGGACTTCTTTGAACACCTTCTGATTATTATTAGCGTTGTAGCGAAGATTCATTTAAATCTTCATTTCAACACTGCATAACATAGTGGAAGTGATTAATATAATAAGCAAAATATAACAAGTCCGGAAAACTTCTAATTGAACTTCACTATTAAGAAAGTAGGTAAGATGGCACCAACATGTCTATCTAGATTCATAGTTACTGTTCCTAGATAACTGTGCCCAACATCTAATAAATGCTTTAAGATAACCAAAGAAATTAAGCTAATTTTTCCCTAACAAAACAAGAACACGGGAGATCTGCACATCTGACTAAAGAATGTAGCAGAAAAATGGTTGCGTGAAGAGAATCATACCCACTGCTAGGAGGACTGGAGTGAAGGGCATATCGAAAAATTGAATTAATTTTTCATACCTTGAGATGAAGTGCTTCTTTCGGGATTTTGTTGATTTCGAGCTCTACTACCATAAAAATTCAAGCTTGGGTGCAACATCTGTAAAATTCACTATTTTGGGTGCCCGTTATATAAAAAAACCCAGTTATTTTTGTATTTTGTTTCAACACCTACCCTTGGATTCTCCATTTTTGCCATTGTAATGTTCCTTGAGGGTCTGCTTGACGCAGCTTAAAAGTGTGATTTGCGTTTTAAAAACGCCGGCCTGACGTTTGTTTCACACGTTTGTGCTGCGACAGTAAACACAATTTAAGTTTTACAATAAACGCTGGCTTCAGGATCAACCATTTGGTTTTACGCATGAACTAAATTCAATGATCAACATTCATACTGTGTATGTGAAATCTTTTTGAGTTATCTACATACATACAACACAATTCCTACGTATTAACATATCTAACTTTTAAACTTGACTTTTTTACATTTTTTGCTTATATGCCACCTTACTCGTGCATGAAAATATGTATTTCACTTTCTAGAAGTTAAAATAGTGAAATGATGATTTTGGTTGGTACAGAAGTAAAAAAAAAATTTGAGGTTTAGGTGTTAGACATGTAAATACATAAGAATTGGTTGGTATGTTTGTAATCTTCCAATTTTTTATTGAAGTCTTTTTTATCACTGAAAGCTGTCCTTTTTTATGCAGTATGCTTTGATTCTGCATTCTGTAGCATAATTTCAGGTTTAGCCATTGTTAAAGCAGTATATTAAAAGAGTAATCTTTTTAGTGCCACACTTTCATAATGCGATGTTAGTTTTATGTTATACTTAGCAGTTTATTGGAAACTATCAGGACTCAAACGGAAGTAAAACCAGATGGTGTGCTGCATGCATTGGATTGCTTTTGCTCCCATCTTCAAAATGAAACATTTTACTTATCGTGAGGTGGTGGACTTTACTCTCATTGCCTGTATGCCTGTAATCAAACTCTATACTTACCGTGTTGGGGATTACGCTGTTGTTATAATTTATAATCTATGAGGAGAGTAATTAAGGCATTTTTAAACTTATAATTGTTCTTCATTTGAGTTATTGTTCTGATTACCACATGCTTCTATTTGTTTAATAAACAATTCTGTTGAGATTGAAAGTTTTGACATCTGTCAAAATACACATTTATTCGAAAAAATATTACATCAGTACTACGCACGTAGAGTAACGTGCGTAGTCAATGAAATCATGCCACGACACCCCGTGTTATTGTGATTCATGTGTTATTCATGTGTTAGTCAATGAAATTCATGTGTTATTCATATAATCAATGAAATTCATGTGTTATTCATGTGTAACGCGACAGAAAAAAAAAACGGCGCGGTAACACGGGGAATATTCTCCCCCGTGTTATTCATGTGTTATTGTGTGTTGTTCATGTGTTACTGATGTGTTATTGTGTTATTATAACACCAAGAATATTCTCAAGACACAATAATATATAAATAACACACAATAACACAAAATAACACATGAATAACACGGGAGAATATTTTCGACAGAGAAAAAAACAACGCGGTAACACGGGAGAATATTCCCCCCATATTATTCATGTGTTATTGTGTGTTA